ATACTTTGTGTTTAATTATTTTTTTTTATCATATGGGTAAGACTGGGAGCAAAGAAATTAATTTCCTCTGGTGATCATATGTGAGATTTTGTACAGAGGTGCCAGAAAGCAAACTCTGCTCTTAAATACTTTTATCACCATGTGATAAAATACAGTTTCAGACTGGTTTTAAGGTTTTGCTGACTTGTCTTCTTTCCTTAGTTCTTTGGTAAACTGTCAAATACTTAATGAGCAGTATCTTCTTCCCAAGAATGAGTGGCAGACAGCATCCTTTAGGTTTTCTTTGCAGCTGTGCTATAAAGCATGCTTCTTCACTTACATGAGAATTTAGAGATCTACAGCTTTTGCTTCCTCTGCAAAGTCTTTTATTGACTTCAGTAACAGCAAATTTACTCAAAATCAATAGTTTGAATGTTAAGCATTGCTTAGGTGAAGGGAAAGCAAACATACTTGCTGGATTTCACTCTGTAGCATTGCAAGTTAACTAAACATTCTTTCCTTGACTTTCTGTTCTGTTTATTTAAGCCTCCATCTAGCTGTCTTCTGAATGAGGCAATACATCTGTCTCCTGTCTGCTATTTCCAGTTTTGTCTTTTCTCTCACCAAAGTAGTTGCATTGTTGATAGACAAGAGGACTTATCCTTATGCCAACCTTTCTTTTGTACCATTTGAATCCTAATGGTGTCCGTTGTCCCACTGGTTCTCCTTTTTAAAGCAGACACAAGCTGGTCTTTTAGCAGAACCAAAGGATGAATAGGCCTGCAACATCCTTCATGCTGGTAGTTAAAATAGAAGGCATTAAAATGTAATAGGAATTGAGATCAGCTGCCCGAGGAGTCATCTGTCCTGCAGGACAGGATTTCAGGGCTTCTAAGTAGTGTGATATGAAAGACTAAACCTGGATGAATTGGAGAACATGGTGTATTCTAGTTTTGGTTGCCGAACTGAAGGAGGCTATAAGTATAATACCTCTCATTCTGTATGTGTGTTTGAAATAACAGAGGGTAGGATTTGTAGGATGAGGTTGTGTAGTTCATCAGACCAGTTGAGTGGGTGGGGAAGTCTGAGAGTTTCTTGTGTTCTTAAACACTTACAAGATGACAAAAAGTAGCAATCCAAAGATCTGATAATGGAAATTTTAAATGGTTGCTTTGTTATCTGCAGACCAACAAAACTACAGCCTTACCACAGCTGAGAGGTTTGGCAGGCCTAAATGCAAAAGGACTGTGTATAGGCACAGAAAACATATTTAGAAATGATGAATTTTAATTGAGTGAGAAAAGTAAGATGAGAAAAGGAGAAAATGGAAGTAATCTGTAAGAGTGGGAATTACAGAGCACAATAGGGATAAGCATAAGGATATCACAAATGGCAGAGGGAGACAAAAAGTCTGAAACAGTGCTTGATTTAACTAATCTGTAGCTTTTACCTACCTGGAGGAAGGCCAATTATCTGTGATGTTGAAGGAAAGAAAGATACCTGGGTAGCTATTGCTTCTTCTTTTTATCATGATATTCACTAAATACATGAGCAGAAATGATCTGCTATGCATGAGAAAACCTTGCCTCTCTTTCCCCCCCCACCCCTTTCCTTTTCTTCTTTTCTTTTACAGGTAGATTCCCTGATTCTCCACCAGGAGGAGCACAGAGACAATCTTGCATATTCTGGTTCCAACAACCAGTTCGATGAGTCGAGACAACGTTTTAGTGCAGGCAACAAAAGAAGTGGAAGTTTACACTGAGCATAAAACAACTTTATCAGAAAAAAACCCATAGGAATGCATTACTGTGCCAGGAGCCTTCAGTATGATCAAGGACATGCAGGTCCTGCAACAAAGAAAAAATAATCTCCTTTACTCTGGAGTGTGAGTGGCTGAACAGATTAAGTGTCAGTCAGTAGACCAGTTTCTTTCCCTTCCACCCTCATCAATGTTTCTTGGGATATACAGCCTATTCCCTAATTTTGTTATATCTGCAGTAAGAATTTAGAACTGGTTCAAATGAAAAAAAGAAGCCATCCAGAAAAAATGAGATTGAAATTCTAGGCCTGAGTAGTTGGGGGATAGTACCAAATCTACATTGCCAGTAGCGTTACTGTGATGGCAACAGTCTTGTGCTGTGCTGAAACTTCCAGTACTCTCATTGAGCAAGAAACACATAAGGTTCTGAAACAGAGACACCATCAAGGGATCTCCTGAAAGCAAACCTATAACTCAGCCCTAAATAATAGTAGCATTCAAAATTCTATCAATGAAATGTGCTAAGAAATTCCTGATTTATGAGATAAATAATTTTGCAACATCTCTTGATGTCATGAAACAGATGAAATACGTGCTGAAACCCACACTGAAATCCTTCATTATATAACTTATCCTCACTAGAAGAGTTGTCTGAAACTGAATTGACCAGAAAGGAGGTTATGGAACATGCAAATGAAATTAAATGCCCTTATCAGATCTCTTTCAAATAAAAATACTGTGACAGCACAAGTCTGAAACAGCTGGCTTACAGACAGGAGTGTGTATTTTCTCATGTAAAATGTTCTTGATACCCATGACGGGAAGATGGCAAATGTAACACTAATTTTTAAACAAATTTGACATATACAGGAAAAAAAGGGCATGTTTTCTACATTTTATCTTGGCTTTTTTCCTCACAGGGTAATAGTTAGGAGATTCAAACAATTTTTTTCTGGAAAAAAAAAAGTTATATTTTTTGTAAATTTTTGTAACTGTATGTGTAATATTGTATTTTTTTCCTGAAAGATGTATTTGTATTTACTGGACCAATTCTCATCATGTTTCATTCTTGTAAATATTAACATTGCTACTAATACCTTTTTTCCCACACCTTGCAATTTCAGAGCCACACAAAAATCAAAAAATGACTAGCTAAAAGGATAATCCTGGCATTCGTTGAGAATTGTGCAGCTATGGGACATGACTACAAATGAGTTCATATGTATCCTTGGTACGTAGGGCATACAATATCTGAACTTGCTGGTCCAGCTTCGTATAATAACCTGTTGGGATGCAGCAGCATTTAGTGGTCTGGTTCTACTGACAGTAGGGCTGCATTTTTTCAAAGCATTTGATTTATATACTCTCACTTTAGTTTTTTTATGTTTGTGGATGCCAAAGCCACAAAGCCCACGACCCCGACATTCATTCCCACTGAGAAGAAAGTAAGTCTATCACAGCGTTGAGCTGATGATTGCCCAGGTCATATTGTGCTCAGAGAGACAGTAAGACATTTTGATGCTTTATTTTTGCAACTTCATTAGGAAGACCAACCTCTCTCCAAACAAGCTCACTGTCAGGATTAGGTGATGACTAACTCCCTCCAACTCCCCACACTTAGTAGTACTCAAACTAATATACCTAACTGGACTGGGTTTTATTCCTTCCCTTGCTTCCTTTGAGCTTGACTTAACCACTGGTGTGTAAAAGGATGTTGTGAATCAGATTTTCCACTTGAAATTCTTTCTCTTTGTTTTAAATATTTAAATATTTATTGATCAGACACAGAATCTGTTCCATGTGAAAAGTCTAAGCTATAAATTTATACTTTTTATAGAGTAGAAAAACAGTAGTCATTAATCTCTTGGTGATACCCTACAACACAGTGCACTACAGAGTTGGTTTGTCTGGATTCAGATGCCCTCTTGAAAAAACAAAAATATGTGATTTGAATCTAGATATTGTCCTTGAACATTTTACCTGTGATATTGCTGTAAACCCCTTCTCTGCACACTGTCCCACATAAACCCAGAGGAAAACTCTATATGTTCTGTGTGAAAAGGGATTTCTCCTTCCAGCCCATTTACCTGGATCTTAGGGCAACTTTTACAGCATGTCTAGTTAGGTACTTCATCAGCTACTTCACACACTAGTTCCCCTCCTCATCAGCATTATGTTGGCTTTGTGAAATCCCATTCTCAATAGCAGCTCTGAGGTCTTTCTCCTACAGATAAAGAATCTGTGTACTTCTGAGTCAATACATTGAATTCAGCATTTCACAGTCTCCAGTTTCATGACAGACATATGTATCTCTGGTACAATAGTTCCAGTTCCTTTTCGTGAAGTTCTGCCAGCGCAAAAATAAAGAACTGTGGAAAACATAACCCCTAAGGATCACCGTAAACACCCACTCATTCCACCAGATGGTATCCTTTCACTTAAATAAGAAAGAACAGTTTCAGTAGCACAGACCTGAGGTTGCTTAATATTAGCATTGGTCTCTGGGCCCACATTTCAAAACCATAGATGGCAAATATGACAACTCTGTCAGTTCCCACTGTGCATTCAAAATATCGTGCTAGGACAGTGATGAGTCTTCTTAACATAGGTTAAAAGACTGTGCCAGAATCAGTGGTATCACTCTGGATCCTGGAAAATGCATTTATAATTAGTACAGGTACTGCCAGACAACCAGTGGACAAAAGGTTGCTAGATATTTGCTTCAGGAATAACCAAAATTTCCTTCACTTTTGCTGTGTGCTAAGGCTACAACAGGTTCCCATATAAATTCCCAAAATAATATCATGCATACTTGTTCTAACAGGCAGAAAAGGAAGAAAAATAATTAAGGTCTGAGCATATGTATTGTATTTTTCCAGGAAGAAAAATTTCATCAGTAACCAGTGCAAAAATAAAAGTACTTTATTTTATTGCACTAAACATTTTTTGGTTTATTCTGGAAACAAAATATCAAAAGCTAAAATAAAACATAGAGTGGTAAATAAAAAGACTGTTGCCATATATGACAATATCCTGTCTGAGAGAATAAGAAAATCTTCCCGCTGAGTCAGTTTGAAACTTTCTGTGTGTTGTCAACACCTGCACAAACAAGTGTTTGCTTGAAATTTCTTGCAGGAAGGAGCTTGTTTTCAGCATAGATGTAGCTGTTACAGAGATCTCTGCTATTGGTTTAAGAGAAGCATGTGAAACAGACCTATATAAGTCCCTTACAGGGGTAGGTTCGCTGACTACCAAGGCAGAAATGAGGATGTGGACTGCTTGGTGTGTGACCATGTACTTCTTTGGAGCAAGTAAGGAACTGGTAGAGCCATATCTGCTCTGCTGCTAGGATAATGTAGCTTACTTGTTTTACTGTATTTTTGTTTTGCTCTTTCTTATAGGAGCTAAAATCACCCAAACCTCAAGTCTTGTGGTGAGAGAAGATGAGAAAACTACTCTGAAATGCAGTCAAAATGATAATCACAATAGTATGTTCTGGTATATGCAGCAGCCAGGGAAGGGGCTGCAATTGATCTATTATTCCTTTGGTGCAAATGATAAAAAAGAGGGTGACATTCCCGAAGGATTCCAAGCTAACCGGCCAAACCTTGCAGAGTTCAGTTTGGATATTTTATCTGTGAAGATGAACAATTCAGCTGTCTATTTCTGCGCCAGCAATTCGGACACAACACTTCAAAGTCACTTACTCTCTTTACATAAACCTCTCTCCTTTCAGAACTTTCCCTCCACTCTCAGCACAGGAAAAGGGTGTGTAGGCTAATAACCTATTCACAAACAATGTGTTGCCAAGAAGTTGGAACAAGAATAGGTAGAAATAAGACTTAGGTAGAATAGGTACATGAAGTGTAGGCTAATTGCTGGACTCCTCTGATCAGCCATTTATCCCCAATCTCATCAGGGCAATCAATAAAATTGGTTAATCAAATGCAGACATAAAAAATAAAGGGAATGGAAACTGCAATCTACACAGCCACAAATTATCATCCCCTAAGCCATTTTCTTACCTGACACAGAACAATTACTTCATATACATAAGTCTAAAATACTTTGTAGATAGTGACTTCTATGGACACTCTCATTTCTTCCTGAAGATTATCAAGTAGTGAAAACCATAAAGTTTTCCACTGTGCTTGGAAACGTTAGCCTGATCACAACAAAACTGTAGAATTACCATTGTCAGCAGTGATGAGAAGGAACCTGAACAAAAGATGGTGCAAGAATAGAAGCTAAACAGAACTAATATGCAACAGATTGGATTGAAGTCACCAAAGAGGAGCCATTACCATGGCCTGCAAGTGCACTAACGCAGTCCTGAGAAGTTATATGTATATGGAGGATATAAAGTGGAAAGGGAGATGGTCAAAGTGGTAAGCAACTTAGAATGAATTTTTTATTTACTACATAACCTCATCCTGATTGATTACTTCAGGTTTGCCATGAAGAGTCTTGTGTCTCACACAAAAAGCCTTACAAAAAGACTTTCCATCACCAGCGTTCTCTCAGGTAGTGTCATTGATGCAGTAAGAGTAGTCGTAGCCTGAGGTACTCTTTGGTGTAAGCTTTCCCTGATGACACAATAACAAATTGTTCTAAATTGTCCTAAACCAAAAAAGCACTAACCAAGGTTCTTGTGATGTATAAAAGTTACCTGCATAATTTGCTAGTTCTGAAATAAAGAAGAATAATGATGTGCTTCCAGTTTTGGAAAGGTTTAAATAAAAGGTGTAAAATGGGAACATTCCCACACAGCATCCACAATAACATTATTCCTATCAATCTGAATTATGTCAAATTATATTGTAAATGTTGTAGGGCAAAGGAGTATTATGACATGCGAAGGAAAACCATACTGATCTTCAAGGGAAATTTTCAACTTGTGATTATTGTGCAGCATTTCTTCATTGGGAAGGGAATTATTGGATTAGAGGCACATCCCAGGAGAAAAGGTGGAAGAACCTTTATCTGAGCCCTTTAAATATCAGCTGACTGACTAGAGGGCAACTTCACAGAAAAGCAATTGAACATGAATAAGCAGTAAATCTTTTCAGCAATGAAAGGTAATTGTATGTTTGGTTGTGTTAGCAAGAATGCAGTTAGCATGTTGAAGCACTTTTGAGACTGTATTTGTAATACTACTTCTATTGTCCATATACATCCCTGCCCCAGTACAACAGAGATATCAAAAATTTTGGAGCCCAGCAGAGGGTCAGTCACTAAGATGATCAGGGAACTGGAGCAGAAACATAAGAAGAGAGGTTGATGGAATAAATTTTGTTCATCATGGAGAGAAGGCGGCTAAAAGATGACTAATTGCATGACTCCAAACAGAGTTTGGAGTCTTAGAGGGGAACAGTGGAAGCAAGTGGAAACAAGCTGCAGCAAGATAAACTCTGATGAAGCATAACAAAAATCACTTTGTCTTGATGATGTTTCAGCACTGGAATAAGTTTCTAGGAGACCTTCTCAAATCTCTGTCCTTGAAGATATTCAGAGATGACCTGGATAGAGCTCTGAGCAACATGATCTAGCACTGGAGTTAGCCCTGTTTTGAACAGGAATTTGGATTGAAGAGACCTCCAGAAGTCCCCTCCCATCAAAATGTTTCTACAAATTTATGATTATCTTGCTTTGCTGATTTGAGATACCTAGAAAAAGTGTGAGGGGTTTTTTAATTTGTAAAAGTAGATCAGCACCTCCCCCAAACCCACAAATCTTCAAGTTTTTTGTATGTTGCACAACAGAAAAGCAGCTGCACATACAGGACCCCATCTGCAGACTTGAGTAACAAGAAGACTGTGTGGTAACTTGAGACAAAAAAACCAACAACTTTTGTAAGGTCCCTTATGTGTCACTGTTTCTGTCCAACCGTAAAATGGTGAACAGAAAGCCACATCCTGTGCCTGATCCTGAGAGGCTGGGGTGGTGTTGTGGTAAGGGAGGCTGATGTGTTTTCAAAATGGGGTTTTTTTGAGTAAATGTCAAACCGCATCCTGTTTTGCTAAGATTCAACTGCTGTTCCCTTAAAGAGATATTTTCAAACACATTTTGGCACATAACCTGCTCTCATTCCGAGGTACCATTTTCTGTTGAGACCTTCAGAGACATTTTCTCCTGCTGCTGACTCTATACTAGACCAAAACTCCATTCAGGTTCTCCACTTTATGCCTCCTACTCCTTCTGCCTTTCTATTGCATTCTCAGATATTCTGCTTCCAAAGCTCCCCAAGCACGCCTCTACTTTGGTCTGCATTATTCCTACATCTGTTTAGGAAAACAGCAGTTCCTGCCAGCAAAAACAAACACAGGACACATTGAGGCACATATACAAAAGTCATATCTCTCTTTGCATACACAGGTGTATATGTAGACAAACAAACTCCCTGTCAAGAGGGGAAAACATGAAGGGTTTAAATTTCTATTGAAGATACTGCAGTCCAAAAAAAAATAGAAGAAAAAAAAAGAAGATATTATTTAAGCCCAGATGTGTATCAGCCCCTCTTTTAAAGTGCTCTGTTTGCACAATCATTTGTGTAATAGAGGGGGGGTGTGGGAATGAGAATTACATGGCTTGTAGCAAGCTTGGAGAAGAACAAGATTGGATTCCTGTGCTTGGTCTCAATTTCCAGGGACTGACAGATATGAGTTCAGTGTAGGAATATTTTTTTTATTACAGAATCGTAAAGCAAGTCTCTGCCATTTGCCATATTTTTTCGTACATAGAACTGTTTAGTTGTGTCACTCCTTCAAAATGTAGCTTGTCTGCTCCGAAACACCTATCCTCAAGTTTGTCCTTCATTCACTTTGACCAAATTCTGCCATAACCACTATGCAAATCTATGTGTGAGGTCAAGATTGATCTGTGTTTTTTTGACAGGCTTGATCAATGCAGCCATTTCCACCAAATGTCATTAGAAATTATATTAATCTTAATGTGTTCCAGACTGAGATGGAATTATTTTTTAATATTGCATTCTGCTGTGCTCTAGTCTGTTCTAACTTCATAGAACATGAATAATAAGGCGTCTTGGGAAAAGAACTCATAATCTGAATCCAAAGACTTCTTGTTTATCTTTGTCACACTTCCTGAAATGTGCCCCTTGCACAGCCTTCTCATGAGTCCCACTTGCTGAGAACTGTTACTTTTCTTTCTTCTCCAAAACACTGGACATTGGCACAGGACAGCCTCATAGGGTAATATCAAAACTACTCACACTTATCCTGGGTTAATGTTCAGTGATAATCATGTCGAATCATTAAATTTTATTTTTTTTCAGAATAATAGCCAAATGATAGCATAAAAGCAGCCCTCATTTTTCTATAAGTAGTAAAGCACTTTAGTGTCTGGTGCTGTAGTTTGACATCAATATCCTCACAATTTTTAGGAATCATTATACATACTGCAATATCCAGTCTCTTTCATTTGAACCCACTCTTATTTTCTTTCCCTCCAGCCTCCACACCTTTTGGCAGTTTCTCATGAATACATTTTACATCCTTCCTAGTCCTTCTGACTTTTCCTTTCATGGACATACATTCCATTTGGATAGAACAGTGGGAGATAGACTGCAAAAATAAGAGGGAATCATAATGATTAGCTCATTCCATAAGCAATTTAATTTTGTGACAAAGACTTGGTCAGTCATACAGTTCATTTCTTCTGGAAGACAGCCAGTAGACTGAGTACAGGCTGTATAAAGTCTCTGGGAGTTCTGCATTGTAGAGGTGGCATATATTCTTCCAGAATGCACTTATCTGACTTGAGGTCTCTTCTTCTTTGGTCTTGTCTCAACCTTCTCATTCCCTTCAGTTTATTCCATTAAGGTTGCCTGCTTGCTAGCTTTCTTCACAGTTTTATTAATCTGTTATTTTTAACACTAAAATGTCCTATTCACAGGGCAAATTCAGTAATTGGTAAATTTGTCACCTTCTTCTTCCCAGTCCTTTCTGTCTCCTTATTTCTTAACCTGTCTTTCCTGAAGCGCCATCTTTAGCCTTCTTAGTGAAGCTCTGCTGACTTCTCCTTTTTTTTCCTTACCTAGAACAGTGAGACATGTTCCTTATTCAAAATATGTTATTTCTGCTGACCTTCATATGAAATTTGCCTGAGAAGCTTGTTCAATCTTTCTATTTCCTAATCTACCATACCCAGAATAGCCACTCCTGAAACACTCTCCACCCCTGAAAAGAGCTGTACTAGTCCCTGGAGATGTAGTATTCTACTTCACTTAAGTAATGTCTACTGTGTTGAAATACTAGGATCACTGGGAAGATCCTGTTTATCCTTCCCTTGCAGTCCTTCACTTTCCCTACTTTCTTTTCTTTCAAGTTTAAAAAAAATAAATTTTCATTTAATCTGTTTTGACGATAAGCATCCTCTTTGCCATGACCCTACAAATATTGCTTTTAGGCATAGGATTTAGCAAAACATTGACTGCTAAACATCGCAGACAATGACTTTTCTTTTTTTAGGCAAGTTGTCATATAACCTACCTTTTTGCAGTCCAGCAGACTGAAGTATAATCACATAGCCTGACATTTGCCCTCACTCCTTACTTAATTCTGCAGAATTTGGAATCACCTAATGGTAAATCCCTTACCCATGGACATTCCTTCCTGTAATGCGTGTAACAATTGGGTGTCTAACTCACAAACTCTGTTTTCTCCTCTCCCGTAATTAATGTTCTGCTTGCCTCAAGTGAGGAAGGACACAAAACTAGGTGTACTTTTCAAGTACTTTTAAAGGTTTATCATAGCCACCAGA